GCTCTGCATGCAGGCCCTCTATGTGTTTTTTTGCCTGTGTGTGTGTGTGTGTCTGTGTGTGTGACAAATGCAGATAGTTCTACAGATGGCCCATAAAAGCAGCAGCTTGTAATGAAGCAACTGAGGCTAAAATCATGGTTATGGTAAACCAGGGAGAGACGTAGATGGGGGAAGAAAAAAGACAGATCGAAAGATAGATAAAGGGAGAATGGAGAAAAAGAAAGAAGTCAGGCTAAAAGAGAATAAATAAGAAAGGGCAGCCAGCAATAAAGCATGAAAATGAGTGTGCTCTAGCCAGTGGCTACCGAATACGCTGGTGTAATGAAAACTATGTGATGCTCACAATAAACTAGGCAAAGAAAGGATGGAGGGGAGAATAAAGGAATGCACACAGTGGCTGATAAGGTGGTTAGATGGTACAGGAGACAAGGAGAGGGAGCTGGCATTTCATCAATGTTTTTAGATGAAGAGAAGGGAGTGGAGGAGTTGAAGGAGCAGGATGGGTGGAGTGTAACAGACTGAAACGTAGAAGAGAGGGAGGCGTTGGTTGCAAAATGGCGAGTTTGAGATGCTAAGATTAAAGGGGAAGAGCTGACGAAGCCTAGATGAAGACAGGTGGATTAATATGGATATGGAAAAGATCGGTACAGTCAAACTAAAACGGAAGAACAAGTCATATGCCAATCACAGGTGGAGTTGTACTGCATGGTGTGTTGTGTAGTGTTAGGAAGCCCAATGTTCTTATAGGTTAGATATTCAGCTTTTTGAAAACCTACATCACAGAACCTTAATTAACCAAAAGTTTGAAAAATAACTACTTTGTGTTGGTTAAAGTTTCAGCCCGATTTTCAGATGAGATCATCTCTAAATATGAGGAGCCATCAGTCTGTGCACTGATCTCTCCTTTCATCCATCTGCCTCACGCTGCGCTTTCATTATTATGATTAATATCTCCTTTTCTCACACAGAATAAATGAAAGGTCTGAGTGTTCACTGTGGGAGTGGCACTACAGAAGGGTCTAGTCCTTAAATAAAATCTATTGATTAAGGTTTAGAGAGGAAAAGTAAGAAAAAAGTCACCTTTTGAGCTGCTCTCCTGAAACATGCCTTGATTTGAATATACATCCTTGAAAAAGGTCCACTTTTGTAGTCGTTATCATTGACTTTGTGAAGAAAGCTGCATCAATCCTCTTTGCCCTTTTAGTGTTTTATTTAGAAAGTGTTGCCACCTTGGCATTTCAGATGTCATGTTAGGGCAAGGGTTAGTGGTCTTACAAATCTAACAGCATTTTATGCAAAAAGATTTCTGGTAATATTTTCATTTTTTCACAATATTATTAGTTGAAGAGCACATGGCACAAATTAATAATCTATAATATTTTATCCTCCTTTTAATTAAGACCAGACCTGGTATTGTGAGGTCATTTCAGTCTACTTTGGTGGCCTTTGCAATTGTTTCTTGTTTTACAAAAAAAAGAAAAAAAGTCATTTACTGGCTGTTATACCGTCTGTCTTCATAGGTTTGGAACAACCTTTGTGTATTTCAGGCTACGACACTGTAAAATATGGGACCAATTTAAACAAAATGGGTCATAGGACCCAACCCAAGTGTACGGAAAAGCGCTGCGTATCAGCAGAGAGTTTCATCAGGTGCAAAACAAATTGGGTTGTGACCCAAAAAACTCAAGTGAAGACTAGATCCAAAGGCCTGATCATTTGGGAACAACTGACCTAGAGACCCCTCGACATCTGTACCTTTTTTAGTTTAGTAAAAAAGTTTTAAGAACAACAACTACATCGTGTGTGTGTGTGTGTGTGTGTGTGGTTGCAAGTGTTATTGGGGACATTAAATGTATCTGTGATGAGACAATGAGCTACAAGCATCCTGACAGTGACTGGGGGCCACACTGTCTGGTGAAATCGATAGGCCAACAGGTCACAACACCGGGCCATGCTGACATGTGGGCAGAATACCGGCACGGGGGGGAAGGGGTTAAAACGGTGATGGATGACCCTAGTGCTGTGTCCAAGTACATTTATACACAGTGAGGTTCCACTGTGCCATTCCTCTAAATGTGTGCCTGTGTGGAGATAGGGAGGAGGGGGATATAGGGGAAGTTATATAGGGGTCTTCAAGGGGAAGGCTTACACTTTGGTATGTGTGGCCTGTACTCTGCAAACACCAGTATTGAATGAATACTCTCTAGAAAACCTGAATACTGAAGTTTGTCAGTCAATTTAATTACAAACTATTATTCCTGTGTTTTTTGATGTTTTGTTTTATTTTGTAATTTTGCAAAGGAAAATCACTGGGTCACATATTTGTTTCTTACATGAAGCTAAATCTGCCTTGGTTTATGTAATTGTAATGGCTTATCAGTGGAAGCTTAGTGGAGCACCACACAACAAAAACGGATGCTTCCAATAAAATATGTAGCGAGTTTATTCACAGTAGATCTGCATATTCATTCACAACGTCAGCAGCAGCAGCAGCAAGGTCACGCACAACGTCAGCAGCAGCAGCAGCAGCAAGGTCACAGTGATAATAATGGGGTGTACAGAGAAGAGGGCGTGTATTTTAAAAAGGACACGACTACACAACAATGACTGTTTTGATGTATCAACCTTGAAGACTAAACCGGGATCACCTACAGGGCTGGAGTTGTACTTTAGAATTGAGTGGGTTTGCTCAGCATTAGCATTTCAGACATTAGGTTTTAATCATACAGTAAAATACAAAAAAAGGTCATTTAAATATGAATGTGTGATTTAAACAGTAATGATTCAATAAAATAGCTCATTAACACCTATGTTCATGTTCATAAAATTTTAATGTTTTCACCTGCTGAGGACTTAGAAGTTTTACTACACGTCCCTGACATGGAGGGACATCGCTGGGACATCAGTGATACCTGCTGCTGTAAAACTGCCCTCTCTCTCCAACCCCATTCATCATCGGTCTAGTCGTCATGTCGGACATCATCCGCCTCCGCTCTTGTTTACCCCTCTTTTCAGTCTGTGTCTCTCTGCGCCCCTCTTCCTCACCTCCTGTCCCTCCAACTAGAGGTGCACTGATGGATAAAACAACATTTTGTGCTGTAGAACACTTTTTATTATTGTTAACGCTGTCAATTTAAGTCCATTTGTAAAATCATCATCAAAAATTGGTATCAGCAAAACACACTTACCAACAAAAAAAAAATTTGCACTCGGTGCAGCTCTACCTCTGACCCCTCTCTGTTCTAACAGTTTCATAGTTGTATCAATCAAGTTCCAACAATAAGACCGCGGTCGGTCCCTGCTCAGCCATCTACTTCCTGCTTTATGTCTCGTAATACCTCCTAGCCTGTCTCTCTTCCATTCCCTCTTTGTCATTTACTGAACAACAATACCTCACTGCATTGTTTAAGACCATGGAATGATGTTTTGCTGACAGCTGAAGGAGAAATTGATGCAACATCTAACTCACTTCTGATTTTCTGCCTGTAGAACTCCAGAGTTCATCCTGTGGAAATCCTGGGGTCCCACCCAAAGCTGTACTAAGCAGCAGTGGTCGGTTCGGCGTTGGAGATCGCGTCCGGTACAGCTGTGTTCCCGGTTATGTCCTGGACGGCCACGCAACGCTTACCTGCATCACAAACGCTGGAAACACTGCAGTCTGGGACTTCCCTGCTCCAATTTGTCGAGGTACAGTTAATTATGATAATAATGCATGTTAAAGTGTATTATGTTGTATAGACTACATATAAGAACTGGACAGAAATGTATCTGGTTCCAGAATTTGACCATAACTCAACTATGCTTGAGTAACTTCAAACATATCTGATGGATTAAGATATCCATTTGAGATGTCCATTTCTAATATACAGTCTGTGCTCTGACTTGAAGTGAAAGGTTTTCTTTTTTAAAGATACATATAAAATTAAATTTAACATGATTAAATTTTAGGGGACAATTTTCTTAATCGCTGATGCAATTTAAAACAGCAGAATTGAACAAATTTGGTTAAAAAATGTTAATTACATTACAAGAAAACGTTTCACAAAATGGTGTTTATATGTCGGTAAGAAAGAAAGAAAGAAAGACAGACAGACAGACATACAGTGTATGGACAGACTGTGTGTGTCTGTGTGTTTGCTTGTCTGTGTATGAGTTTGAGAAAAAAAGAGAGTGAAAGAATGAGAGAAAGAAACTGATTGGTTTAAGGACTCCTAGCCCACATACTAAGATCCTAGCATCAGTGTATAACCAACTTAGTTGAATTAGCTTTTTTTTCTTGATTGAGCTCATTTTATGACACCATCCAGTTGCTTCCGTTTGCAGGGAGCATGCATTTATTTTGCTTCAAAAAATCTATTGTTTCTCATCCATGTCGACTTTACACTCGTGCCGAAACGCATGGTGAAACAATTTCAATTCTCTAACCATCATTAACAGAAGAGGAATTTTCATCGGAGGATTTTGCTCTTTTTCGTCAAAGCACATTAATCGATAACTCTTCTCACCTCTCTGTATGTCATTTCAATGAGTCACGTAACTGGAAGTGACATCTGTGACCCGAGCCTTCTCAGGCAGATAGTGATTTAGTCGAGGGGATTGAACTTCACTGCTCCATCTGAAAGCCTTCCAGTCCCAGATCTGATAAGACACACACAGAGTCACTCATCCAGAAGGGCAACATCCGTACACACGGAGGAACGAAGGCACCTACACTTCACAAAGCAATACAATCACCACCGGTCTCTGCAGCTTGAGTGGGCAGATCCACAGTATTGAACTAGAGAGTACTATGACTTCATGGTATATGCACCCCTCCGTGATGCAGGTGTAGGTTATAAACTGAAGCAGGGAAAGATGGCAGTTAATTGTTGACAATTACTGCAAATGACACAGCTGTACAATAAGTCAACATAGCATTAACTGCTGGGAAAGTAGAAGTAGAAGCTGGAGACAATTGTCAGCAGCAATGGATTCTGGGACTCTGTCAGCAGGGTGCAGAGGGACCCACTGGAGATACTGGCATAAAAAGCACTGATAAACACATGTATTTAGTGGTAATTGGTCTGGAATTAATTTTCTTTAAAAAAAATACTGATCGTATAGTGAACAAAAACAAAACATGGTTCATATGAGTTGGAGTTTATCACAGCTGCATGGCAGGGACATCAGCCTTATTTGACATTATGTGCTGGGAAGCAGAACACCGTGATTTACCTCTTCTACAAAAGTTATTCACCAGCTCATTGGATTTAGGGTTTGTTTATTTTAAACTTTAATGTTGTCAAGGCTGTTTTTTTTTGTACCACCAGCACTCAACATCACACAGTTTTTATACTAGCAATACATCCAGTAGACCTCTGCTATAGGCTGTGAATAGTTTTCAGCGCTGGAAAAGGAAGGACAGAGTTAAACTGTATTTAAATTATTTTTATATAAATCCTAGAAGCAACTGAATAGATTTAAATAAATTATAAAATTCAACATTTTACTTAAAGCACTTTTATTCAGCGTAGCGTTATTACTGAAGGACAGTTGTTTGTTTGCTGTTAGAACTAAGACAACTACAGTACAATAGGATAAATGCACCATGTTATCCAGTTTTAATGCAATCATGTTGCACACATTTTATGTATAGAATAGAATAGTCATTATCGTCATTTTGAAATCAATCAGCAGTTAAAAGATCATTCTGAGACATTCACACATGTCCTAGTTTTATATCATGTATCTTCAATCGTTGCTATTTCTGACGTCTGACATCAATTGCAGATGAAACACATATGTTGAAGTTCATTTATTATTACACGGCCCATCAGTCGTGGGTCTGAAATCTTTCATAATGCTAACTTAGTTAACCCTGCATTTCTTTTTATGTAACCCAATTAAACCCACTACAAAATATGCAACGATGTGCAATTGTTGCGCAACCCTCTTTGTGCAGTGAACTTTAGTATGTGTCTATGAGGGTGGGTGGTGGTGGTGGTTGTGTGGGGGGGTTAGCTGTCGGAAATGGTGGGATGTCAGAATGAAGAATTAGCAATGTCTGTGTCAGGCTGGCAGGGTGGCTAAGAGGTGCTAGGCTGCTGATGTGTTTGAGCTGACGCACATTAGGCAAAAAAAGTATTGCCTGTAATTGAGGAGTGGATGAGTGCACCTAGAGGCATTCACGCTGGATGTAATAGCTTTTATATCAATTATTCAGCCATGCAATCAAATGAGTGCTTTTAGCAATACTAACATATCAGTCACCCCTCATGTGTCTGTGTGTCCATCTGACTCCGTCTTTGTCTGGTGTCCATCTAATTGTCTGGGTGGATCTGGCTGTCCAGCCAATCAACTATTCCGTATCAACACTTTATTTACCGTTCTGTGAAGCTAATGACTCGCGCGACACGATTTCTATTTAAATTACTACCTAACTCAGTCATTAATTTAATGAACTTCCACCTTGATAGCTACGAGTCCAATAATTTAGCTAAACAATTATCAAATTCACCATTACTTTTGCTGTGTTGCTATCTTTAAATGTAGCAATTTAGCAATTTCTCTCTATTAAACAATTTATCTAACCAGCATCTTACCATGAATATGTTGACGTTAAAATACCCAGTGTTGTGCTCATAATTGTTAGCCTTCTGGCTAGTGTTCAAAGATAACATGCTATCTGTTTAGCTTGGCCTTTTGTCCCGTTATGTTGCTTTCCATAACTAGCTATTTCTCATTCTGCTTTGTAACGATCAAAATGTCTATGTCTTTATGACTGTATGAGGATATGATTATATAATGGTAAAAAAGAACATATTGCTGGGCTACATGTTGCTGTCACTAATGCTAACTACATTAGATACAGTGATATAATGTGGAGCATATACTGTCCATGCAGTGTGAGCTTGATGTTTGTGAAGGTGTCTCCTTTACTGCAGAATTATTTATAAGACTAAAATATCCTTCAGCGTTTAAGACACGGCTGAATATTCAGCCAAAGATGCTCAGACACATCAGCACAAGAGAAGATTTCGTCATTATTTCACGGCAAATGCTTGAATAATGAGGAGTCTGGGTGTATGGGTGCAGGAGTGCGTGGGCTGATGATGGCCTGAGTGAAAAAGAGCAAGACTAACACAAACAGAGACAGAGATTGTGTGAATATAATGACCACATGGACGTGTGGAATTGAGAAAGTTGCCAAAAAGAAAGGACACAGATGTGGAGAAAGACAGTGGGAGAGACCTGTAAGAAAAAAAAAGAGCAGTAGTTGGTCTTGAGATGAACCTAAAGCTGACATAAAGGCTGTTGGTGCAACTACAGAAGTAATAATGTACTTCGAGAAAAGTCAGAAATGGACTGGCTCAGGAACGGAAATGAGTGTTCTGTTTGTTTGTTTGTTGCTGCTGCTCACATGCTGTACAACTTAATGTGTATTTGTATATTAGTTTAACCCACTGATCAAATTTCCTGCAGCTATGTGTAGGCAACATTAGATTTATTTTCTTGTGAGCATTAACTCTGCAGTTCCACTCCAGTCTAAGCACAGACATGCAGAGACAGATTCGAGCCTCATCCGGTGACCTTACATAACCAGTGTGGCGTCAGATGTGGCTGTAATACTCTAAAGTTAGCGTATAATTCAGGCGGCGTATGGAACGTAGGTTGATGAAAGCAAAACTAACAAGCGCTGCAGCTGCACTGACCTAACTGGAGCACCTCCCACACTGTGAGAACCACATCATACTGATGAGACCTGTGGCCCTTTGAATAGAACAGTTTCTGATATGAGTTTCTCATAAATGTCTAATCTGACAGTCAAGATGGACCTGTCTTGTTTCGAAAATGCCTTTAAGTAGCGATAAAATGTTAAATAAATAAAGTCTACTTTCTGTTAAGTTTAGAAAGGACGTGAGAAGATGGTCTGGAAGGTTAAGATGTGTGTATATTCTTCAGAATTATTCTTATAGTTTAAAGCATTTTATCCTTATGTGCTTTTGTAAGGACGGGGGCAAAGTGCAAACTTTGAAGTTGGTTACTTTTATTAAATATATACTGGCAACGTTGACGTAAAACCTGATGCAAAAACCAAGCTCCTTTTACCACCACACGATTTATTGGAAGTGTAGTAAACTGAACCAACCAAAACAAATGAGAAAAGGCTCAGTCACACCCTTGAATCTAAAAGGTGCGTGGATCGTATGCAACAAACTCTGTCTCTGATTGGCTCGGTGCTGAGAGAGTTCAGAGAATTTCTGTTTCAAAAACCCTTTTGAGTGGAAAATTTTTGTTTGGTTTCAGTTTGTGTCGATTTATTTAATGCGTGAAAAAGTGTTTGGTGGAGAATGACTCTAGTTTTTAACATGGCGTGCGTTCACATATTTTTGTGCGTTATGTCAAACTGTACGAACTCTTCCATTTAAGCCTTGACAGATTACAGTGTTTATGCAAATATATTTCTTTTTAAACTCACCAACACACTCAACCACCCACACACACACACTTATAAAGTCTAAGTTGGTGTGCAGGAGATTTGTGCTTAATTTTTTTGTGCTCTCTGTTACACGCTCAGACTGAACGCAGGTGTTCAATACCATTTTTTGCCAGCCCATGTCCATGTGTCCCCTGAGGACAGTCATTTGGCTTCATTCACTAATATGTGACCAGAATTCTTTAGCACAGAATAATCAGTGATTTTTTTT